CAGAGAGCTCTAATTACTATTGCAAATCTGTATAAATGAAAGGCTAACATCACATGCACGGAAACTGGAAAGGTAGTCAGCTGACTACTTTTCCTGCCTTGTAAATTATTGCACATTGTTTCTAGTTTCCCATTACCTTACAGTATCCTTAACGTACTCTACAATTTGTGTACATTCCTATGCATATTTTGACAGTGCATACAGGGCGAGACATGCTTCTGAAAGCGGTCAATAGCCCTCAAACATTTGAGATTAGAGGCATACAGGGTGTTCCATAAAAGTGGTGTGTATGACGAAATGGTTTTTTTAGTGGAATACCTTATATATTTTTGTATTTTTGATACCCCTTAATAATAGAATTCTTTTTTATGTCTTATTATTTTTTCCGGATTATTATTTTTTGTTTTATATGCGGAGGATTATGAAAAAAATAAGTTTCAATGATGTGTCCCAAAATATTACTTCACGAAATATTTTCTTTATTAATGCTACTCGTAATATGCTAACGGGAGAAAAGGCATACAGGGTGATTCCTATAGTACCTGCCACCGTTTGGGAGCGTATAGGGGGTGCCTAGGGGAAGTCTTTTCATATAGGACACTTGGGTCGGAAATCCAAAATAAGGGCGCCAGTACCAAATTTATCTTCTGGAATTTCACGCCTGTATGTAGGCAACCCAACCGACCGACGTTTCGCGCGGAGCGATGCAGAGCGAGTTAGCGCGAGGAAGCGACATGGGAGGGAAGGAGGGAAAACGACAGTCAAAAGCAATAACGTTTACAAGTGTTCAACGTGGCCACCGTTGTTCTCAATGCACTTCCTACATCTAGCCAACTATTATTATACTATTGCCATAGTGTTTATTCACTTGATACGCGTCGTTGCAGACGGGATTTCGTGGGTTTAAACAAAATTCTGATCAAGTGTCAGCCACACATCGCCGCCTGAGATCGCTCCGTGTGCACCGCCGGCCGGTTGGGTTGCCTACCTACAGGCGCGAAATTCCAGAAGGTAAATTTGGCTCTGGCACCCTTATTTTAGATTTCCGACCCCAAGTGTCCTATATCAAAATACTCCCCTACGCACCACCTACACGCTCCCAAACGGTGGCAGGTACTATAGGAATCACCCTGTATATGTATGTGAATATTGCTATTCCATCTAGGTAGTGACAATCTGAACTAGTTAAATACAATTAAAATACTTCACAATTAGTTAATTAAAACGTTTTGGGTACAGCAAAGTATAAATTATAAGTACACGAAAAAAATGATCTCTCAAATAATGTATATAATACCGTTCAGTGTAGGATTCCTTCATCAACGTAATACTATGTGGGGGAGGGGTTAGTTTACCTTGAAATCTTAAGTTCAAGTAATGTATGTAGTAGGTACATCGCTGCGGTACGTGATTTTGTTATATAGATAGAGGGTGAGGAAAACTAAAATGGGATAAAACTAGAGACTCATACATTATATACATTATTCGTTTTAGATTTATTGACAAAGTTGTTGTTGAATGGCATCAGCATACATTGAAATGTTGTAGTGGTGGATACTGTTAAGGAACTTAGCTTGTAAATCTGAAATAATAGTGCACCCAAAATTGACCCATTGATCCAAGTAGGACGATATTCAGCTAACGTGCAGAAAAAACGACTTACCCCCGATCAACCGCGAGATGCCTTTTCCTTATTAAGCGACAGAGCACAGCGATGCAAGTGTTATAGGGGAGTAGACGGTGTCGCTTTTTTTTGGCTCATTCCAAGACACTGTATGACATTTTTCCTTCTTCAAACAAGATGCGGTTCGCTAGAATAAAAAGGACACGTGGGTGTATGCGCGAATTTAATTTGATCTTAACAGTTGAAACCGGTTTAACAGAAGTTTCTCCCAAAAGAAAATTGACTGATGTAAGGTTAGCGTTGTCCTTTTCAGTTTTCTTTTTAAAAAGTTTTGGGTTGTAGTACGAAAGCGTAAAATTTCATGTACCGTGTGATTAGAAAACTTGAGTAGGATTTACGCCAGACCACCGTGGATAACGATAAAAACAGACGCGAGTCATCAATTTTGCGTTGGTTCCGTTTCGGTAAATTAGTCCCGCAACAATTACAGATAAGAATAATGGATTGCGGTTGGTATAGAAGCGTGCGGAAGCGACCTAACGGAAGTCGGTTCCGTTTCAGATTTTGTAACTGGCAACGATAGGAAAGGGGAAGGCTGGGTAGATTAAGATCGACCACCTGAGCGTACAGGTCGGTTTCAAAAAAATTAGATCGCAGAAAAGGGTAAACGTTCAAAGTTATGAAAAGCGCAGTGGCTGTTAATTAAAAAAATAAATCAAGTATAGAACGTTCCAGTTAAAGAAAAAGTGCTTGCACTTGTTTAGAAATTGTTGAGAAAAAAACCATTCGTCTTTTTCATAGGAGTACCAGATGTTTTCATTAAAAGAGTTCCAAGAGTCATATCTTTCAGGAAACACGCTCGTAAGACCGTCCAGAATCGAACCGGATGCGCAAAAAATTTCGATATCCGCAAACAGTAAAACACGTTAATTTCATCTTTCTTCTTAGAATTGTATGCTCAATCCATTTACCGTAACTTTAAGGGTTTCTTTTGCCTCAACAGTGATCATCTTGTAGATGGGTTAATTCTATTATAAGCCTTCTTATTAAGGGTCATTCATAATCTAGGTAATAATATTGATATTAAATGGTATAAAAATTCCCTGCATGGAAAAATGTCTACTGTAAATTAAGTTTTTTCCCTAAAAAAAGCGTGAAAGACGTCAATTAGTGATAATGGGTTGGGGGCAAGTTTTCCGAATCACAAAATAAGAGCTTGACATCCTATAATGGTTTGGTAATGGTAACAAGTGTCGTTTAAGAAAAGTAGTCGATGGTGTAAACGTAAAGGATTTTCATGGAACCCCATGAATATAAAATTTTACCTTTACCCTCTCGAGTACTTTCATACCAGTTCGTATTACTAAAAATGACGTAATTTACACAATTTTTTTAGCAACCTTACAATTCAATGGGTAGATTACGTCAGCATTTGTACCCCTATTATGGTAGCACAGATACGATTACTGCTACTGTAGCTGTATAAAATTTGAAGATTTCATACTTACTAATTTAGATGAGTCTGTTTAACCTCACCATTTCAAAGGGATTACGTACCTTGCGGAAGATGTGGAAATCTAAAGTGGAAAATCCAAAGCCTTCCTGTTAAAATTGTCTATATTATTTACCTAAACGTATTTACATGAATAAGACATTGGTGATATTTTTCCGAGGTAAAGTTATTTTTGTTTGGTTTACCACGTATCGTTGTAGGTTATGCCCAATTTATGCCATATGTTGTAATTTAATTACCTACCTTTCTTTTACCTATATCGTAATCCGAAACCCATTTATTAGTGGGGTACGTAAGTTTGAATTCATTTGATTTTAGTCTGATAATGGTATCTAGTTTATTGGGTGTATCTTTTTGTGTACGTATAACGATCATTGTGGCGGTTGTATTAAAGAAGTACCGTTGTTTTGGGTGAATATTGTCAACACTCATTTTTGAAACGAAATTTGTTATCGGCTATTTTAAAAAATATGCATAGTGCATTTTATAGGTAAACGTGTATTATATGCTAGAGCTTTACCAACTTCTTTTATTTACATTGTAAACAATGAACCTCGGGTTGTCATGATTCAATAAAAATTAGGTTAACTCTTTAATTTTTTAAGTACAATCGGTCACTATTTTGTATTGCCCATACAGGTGATTAATACAAGATTTTCAAAAAGCCACAGAGATGAAGAGAAGTTAAATGCACAAGGAATTGCAGTTATGAGCTCACATGAACTCATTTTTAGGTTTTGGTAAAAATGCACGGAGTAACTCGAGGGGTAACTAGATGTGTCACTGGTCAACTTATCAACATTAAAAAAAATTACAAAAATAATTGTTACTAAAATTTTTTAAATTTTGTTCAATGATTTTTGAGAAATAATTCAAACAAGTTGTAAATCGGCATATGCATGATTAAAGCGCATTTTTGGTAATACAAGTCAGTATTTTATTAGCCAAGTTTAAAATTATCGATCTCACGAGTAATTTTGGCTGCGTTCAATAATTAATTTTATTTAATTTCAATTCAGGGTACGTCTTTATTTTGTAAAACACATCACAAAGTAAATAATTAAGTTTTTATACTGGTAGCGCTATTTAACTGTAAAATTATAGCACCTCCGAAAACCATATCGAAAATATTTTCTTAAATTATCGATCTCACAAGTAATCTAACTCAAAATAGACTAGAGCCTGCACATCTATTCTATAGCAGAAAGCTTTTAGTGAAAATTTGAGGTGTCTAGTTATTGTAGTTGCTGAGATCTCACCCGGACAGTCGGCCAGCCAACCATAACGAATATAATAGCGTATTTTTTTCAAAGAATGCGCTAAAAACGACGGTTTTCAAGAGAAAAAATGTTACTGGTTATTGCTCTTACTCAAAAATTGCAACTTCTAAAAATATGCGGATTGTTCTCCATTTAATCAATCTCACATATGTATTCCATGAACCCTTTCATAGAAATACCCGCATGCCCAAAGAAGTGCTAAATAACTAAACAATAGTACGTATGTACACTATGATAGCAGCAAAGCAGGGATAATGCTTTTAACTAAAGAAAAAACAAAATGTAAAAAGTATCACGAATGCCGTAATTACTTGTTCACGTGATCCTGGTTAGTGGTTAGGCGCTAATTGGAGCTAAATTGTTGCTCAATTTATAAAACAAACGCTTAGATTTTCACGTTTGTTGCTCTTGGTAGGCAGAGTTCAAATTGTTATCTTTATTTAAAAACTTGAATTCAAGTAAACATTCTTGTCAATTTCAATTGTATTAACAAGAAAGTGTATTGTAAATAGAACTAATCTTCTCTATTACACCATTGAATAAAGAGATTTATTATTCAATGATTACACTTAAAAAAGCAAAAAAAAATAAACAATTGTTTGTATTTTACAACTATTAGCAATTTTGTTCTTTACAGGTGAAATAAATAATATTTTACATCATCTTCAAGTTTCCTACCGTACTAATTAATCACAATATTACAGTTATAAATACATAAATTTACAATTCGGTTGTGGTTACACCCCAATACTGCTGCATCCTATCCAAATCTAACGAATCCGCCAACCCCCTCTCTTGCATCACAGCAAAATCGTACTCGAGATTGTAGGGCATTAACCTCTGCAAACTGCCAAAGTAAGCAGCGTGAGGACCTCCGAGCATTTGCTTTTTGTCGCCCAGGTGGCGAGAGGGTGGTCTCGATACCAACGGATTGAATGATCTGGAACTGCCAAACTGACGGGATAAGAATGATGCTTGCGTGTTATTATCGGTAACTATCTGGGGGTTGCTCCTCGACAATGTTGGGTTCTTTACAGAGAACTGTGGTCTTTTGTTCTTGTTTAAGGTGTTGAGCTCCTTATCGAAGAGCAACTGCGTGTTTTGTTCGAGCATGTACTCCCAGCACTTAAATTGTTCTTCGGATAGAGCAGAATCGGAATCTTCCCGAGCTTTTTCTTCTTCTTTGCGTGCACGAACCGCCTTTGCGACGCCTCGGTAGCTTCGTCTTTCCGGCGATGCCTTAACGTCCGCCGCTTCGAAGTGGGATGACGCAAAACTGCGCAGTGAACGATTGTCGCTTTGCTTGTTTAGCTGATTAATAAAGATTTTAGCGGAAGAATTGCAGTCACTACACGCTTGATCACTTTGCCCACTCGGAGAAGATCGATCATCATGGTTCATCATTGGTGGTGGAATCGGAATTTTGTCTATGCAGCTGTTGCACGCATTATTGAGTGCTTCGCAGCAACAGCCTGGTTGGCAGGTACTCGCGTTCGAAAGCCCACTTTCGCTTTGGTACTTATTTCTTCTAATCGTCTGTCTTAGTTCCCTCATAAGCAGATCGACATCAGAGCTAATTAGGTTAAACCGTACAACTATGATACTTAAATTTTCTTCCGCGCCGTAACTTTGTGCTAAATCTTGCAGACGCTTCGCCGCTAAAATAATGTTTCTCTGCAGACTAACTTCTCTAATTGCATTTTCTGGGCTCATTACCTCCCATAAGTTCTTATTCGCAATTATCATGTACTCGTCCTTATCTTCTAACTGAAATTCTATTATATCAGGATCGGGTATTACGTAATTAAGTTGTGGGTTAGTGCGTATGTGTTTACGCTGTTTAATTGGCAACAATCGCAATGGGCCAACGGTTCGACCCAGCACAATCTTCATATCGCCGACGCTCGCAATCTTCATGACGTACCTCTTCACGCCACCACAAAACGAGAAGTCCACCGATGACTTTGATTTTAAAATATGCACAATGACTGCGTTCATTCCGTGCTTCTGCCCTTTGTCTTTCAGTTCTTTGTGGGTGGATAACATGGTGTACTTCATGTAGTCGTTTGCCGTTTCTTTTACGGTTCGTTCTTCCAAGAGGATGCGTGGAACTATTTTATCAATTGCAATCGGGACGTCGCTGTTATTTTCGCCGTCAAACATCCCGAAGAGCGCTTCCGTGTTGCAAAACGCCGGCAAGCGGATTTGGGAAATGTACAGTCGTCGCTTGCAGCCTGACGTTTCCGAAAACCCGACCGCCCATGCCGATTCGGTGAGGTCGTTTTCGCAGAACGGCGAGGGGGTTAAAGGTAGACTCGTCCTGTTCTTCCCGGATACATCAACTAAGCTCATCGGCCTTTGCGTTCTGTACGTGTGGAACTGCTGCGAGTCCACGTGAAGCTTTGAGTTGCAAGAGAGGTCTAGAAACTTGAGATTTGGAGGGATGAGCGATGATAGGTTGATTTTATCCAAATGATTGTGGGCGAAGTCGAGAACGCGTAGTGATCCCAAATGTGATAACGTGGGGCATGATTGGAGCAAGTTTGAATGGACTCGAAGCACTGATAGGTGCTTTAGGTAACCCACACTGTCAGGCAGTCTTATCAGTTTGTTTCCCGATAGCACCAGTTCCTCAATTTCCGTCCATTCTAATCCACAATTTTCGGGTAGAAAAGTAAAATTATTATAAGCCGCGTGTAGGATTTTTAAGTTCACCAGGTATGGAGACACTTCCGCAAGCGAACCATCCGACAGGCAATTGGCAGTTATAAACAGTTTTTCTAAGCTTAAATTACTCTGTGGTTTGGGCAATTTGCAAAGGCGGTTGTTTGATATATTCAGTACCTTTATACTTTGGACGCATCTGAAGAAATTTTCCGGAAGCGTTGATATACTGTTGTTTTGTAGAAACAACTCTTGTATGGGTAGTTTTTTGTGTATTGTAGGAAGATTATGCAACTGATTATAAGCCAACTGTAACGTGTGCAGGTAAGGCATTTCATTGCAAAATAGATGGTCCGGTAGGGTTTTTATGTAATTGTTACTCGCAAATAACGAGCGCAGCTCTTGACAACTTCCAAGCCACTCGGGGAGGCCATCCAGATTGTTATATGACACATCTATGTGCTTTAAATTTGTGGGTGTTGCAATGACCGCAAAGTTCTTCAATACTACAATTTTTAGGTTACTTCCATAATTAATGCTTCAAAACTTACAATTATTTCCCGCTATTAGTGTTGATAGGGCTCTTCCGTGTAGTGTCAACACAGTGATAATGTTTTTGGAACAGAGCAGCACTTGCAATTGCTCGACTGCGCTCAAATCCAAAATCTCAATGTGATTCTCGCTAACGTCCAACTCTGTCAGATTCTGAAAATAAAAAAAAACATAAAACGTCCGAAGAGGTAAATCAATCCAGAAAGTAAGCGAAAGAAGTGAACCAAGGATTCTCCACTTGATGATATCGTACGTACGATCATCCAATTGTAGTAAATTAATGATCTAACAACAATAGAGGTACCACGACCTTATTTAGCATCATTTACGGGTCTGATGTTTTACAGGATGTTATTTGCATCTTAAGGACATCTAAACCAAGACGTTTAAATTTTAATTTATTGAATCCAAATTTACATATGAGTGTTGTAATCTAAAAACGTTTATACGCAAGTGAATAGATAATAATTGTTTCACAGTTGTACAGGAGCAGTGAAAATGCATTTATTGTAACACAAAGCCCGCTTGCAAAACAGCCCGATGAGTAAAAAATTCATTTAGATTCAGAATAGGTAATAATCATAATAAAAAGTCCCAACCACATTCAAGGTGTCAAGGCCTTCTCAAACAATATTATTATGATGGTGTGAGGAATTTATCTGGATGACTGGAGTCAATGAAATACGGGTCATTTTTACGCCTGGTTTTCAATGGTTTTTTTTTTGTTCTCTACCGCCCTATGTTGGTTGGCTTTCCAGTCGGGCGTAGGAATACGATTACAGGGATATAACCAATAAATTTCGGATCATCATGAAGTAAAGCTTCCGCTAAACATATTGACCGATTTGTTTTTGATTATTTAACAGCCATTCGGGATTGGTTAAAAAAAATTAATCATAGCTATTTTAAGTTAATTTCGCCATTGTGTGTGCATTTTCCAGCGAAAAGGGGAAACCCGATTTCATTCGAAAAAAAACCTTTTATGTGGAATATATTTAATTGTATTCCAAGGACGTTTTATTTTTTTGACAAGAAGGTGTGCTATTTGTGCGGCTGCTATGCGCGAAGGAATTTCCTCATATTAAATTACCAATTACAAAGGACAAGTGTTGAACTTCTCTGTTGAATTACTTAAGGGTTGACAATATTGGTTTCCAGATTTAGGATAACGTTTAATCAGAGTTTGTAGAAATAATGTATTGTTTAGAATACCAATTTTTCCTTTCTTTCGTAATGAAATACAATAATTTTATTAACAATTATAAAGCCGATACACTGTCAAAAAATTTTGATTTTCTTGCGAAAAAATCACCAAGATCATAGTATGAAGTATATCCTCAGCGTCAACGTTATACTGCTGGATGTAATAGAAAAAAGGTTATCCTCTGGCGGAAGCATTTCAAACAACCTTTACTTTATTTCGACTTCGATCCTATGTTGAAGGCGCTGTTATGGCCACTTTCTCCCGTCCATCCGTCCGTCCGACAGTTTTAAGATATCTAGTATATGTAAGCGGAACTTCATGAAACATGAAAACATCACGTTTTATTACGGCTCGCTAAGGCAGCTTTATTATACCAAGGGGTGCGCGAAGGAGCGCGGCCCACATATGGGGACTTCGTACGCGACATCCAAGAAAGACGGTCGAGAAATAGAGCAATGTATCGAGCCATTGTTACTGTTCAATAAACGCCCATTGTAAATTGTTGTATAGTGTTTAATTTAGGGGTGTAATACCCTATCCTCTATACTGGTTAGTGAAGTCTTTTACATACATTCGATATTTACCGAGAATTTAATATACAGGGTGAGTTTTTTTTCATTTTTAGCATTGGGATCTCGGAGACCATAAGACGTACATAACAGATTCGGTTAAATGAGGAAAGAGTTGTCGTTTTAAGAGCTTATTTAAGAAATGCTTTTGGTTTTTGAAAAAATCTCATTTAAAAAAATGTAAGTTTGAGTTATAACTCGAAAATTATAAAAGAAGAATGAAAATTAATAAATGTACCTTATCACCTTATCTACAATTTTTGTTCTTTGCATTTCTGTATTTCTAATACTAAAAATTCTACAACATTTAATTAAGAAAAATCACTAAATCTGCTTTTCGCTCTAGTGAACTATGGTTTTTTTTCAAGAAACAAAAGCATATCTCTGAGAACCTTTCGCAATCTCTTCCACGAACTAAGCAATAAGTACAGGACACATTCTTAATACTACACCGACGGATCAATCGTGGACAACCAATCAGGGTACTCCATTCCATCCAAGAGAGAAACCTTCAGAAGCTCCTGTGAGGGGTTTGCAATCCTCCGTACTCTACAGATCATGGCAGAGAACCCAAGTAATAATGAAGCCCTTATATACTCGGACTCATTCCTGTTTAAAAGAAATGAGGAACCAGCCAATAGCCAATCCTCTGTTAATGTGGCATTCCACGTCTTCATTGACGCTATTCCCGGACTTTCCATTTCTTCAACCGAAAACAAAGTAAATCGAGACAAGGAAACTAAGAAGAACGACGAGCACGAAAGTTAAACTGGCACTATCACATGTTCAAAGTTTAAGCGAACGATATTAAGTGCAACCAAATAAGACCGTTTCATATCTTTGCATGTACTTCTACCATGATTATTAGTACAATGCAAAGTGGAAAGATGAAGCGGCAACCTATTTAAGAATAAATTGTTTGAGCACGGAGCTATCTTAGTTTTAATAAAAGAAAAGTGTCAGGGTTTCTACATGTATATAAACTTGTGGAGTGCACAAACTTAAAGTTGGCGGTTGTTCGAGTTTCATGCTTTAATAGCGACACGGTCGTGTTACAATGCACTTTTCTCTTAGAAATGACAGGTGTTCGAAGTACACAAAATCGATATGCACCCGGCACGGTTAAATCTAATTTTGACTTACACAAACGTTTACGTTACGATGAAGGGAAAAACCGTATAATTTGGTTTAGGTCTTTTCGCACAGCGCACATATCCGTTCATTTACATATTTAACATCGGTACCCAGACGAACATTCCTTTAAAGGGATGAAGAGGCTTCCAATTCCTCCCCGCACGTGTCTTCATGGCTTTTTATCATCGCCTTTCTGTCTTTTGAGGAGCGTAAAGTCAATGCTCAAAGCGGCAGCATCGTTTTAAAGGAATAATATTTTCCTTTTCCGCGTTTGGCGTCACGGGCAGGAAACAGCTTCAGCTTTACTTCAACCGACTTGATAAAATATTTTAATCAGCGTCTTCATATTTTACAGTTTCATTCAGCAGATAGCGTCGCGATGTGTACGAGTTTGAAGTAAAGCTCTTTTCCGTTTTTGTGGCGAGGCCGATAAGGGGATGTTAAAGTATTTTTGGCAATGCCCTCTCGCCCTCTCCCGTCTCTTATATTTATTAACTCGGAAATAGCGCAACTTCCTCCACTTGATTACAACCATTTACGAGTCGACAACAAACTATTGAGTGTTATGGCGGTGGTGGCACCGTAAACCGTCTCCCGAAATTAGACTAATTTCAGTTTGGATGAGATCAATTATAAGTTGAATTTAGTTTGGAATTAAGAATTTAAATTGCACGCAGTTTGTCCACGCTGCATTGTCACCGATCGCCGCAATTTCGCAATTAAAAGCGGAGGGGTTGGGGGGTTGGCGAGGGGCGAGGATGATGAATCCCGGTTTTCGCATAAATCTTGCATCGGTAGGCTTGAGTAGTAGCAGAAACAAACGCGCTTTTGTTAACAGTTTTTAATACATGTAATGCACCTGTAGTATACAAAAGCACTGGGACGTAAACGGCAACATCCTGCTTACTCGGTGGAAGATATTATATTGGGAAGAGCGAAACATGAAAGTTCCGGCCTACGCTAGAGATTTTCCACAATTTTCGTTATGGTCATAAACTAACCGAGAAAAATCTAATACAATATTTTAATTTCCTCCGAAATGGATATCGCGAACTTAAATTTTCGTATAAGGAAATTAGTTTTCTTTCGAATAAATTTAATATTCCTCGATTTCATTTAACTCAATGTTCCGAGAATAACTTAAAGCTTGCATAGAGACAAATATAATCATAAATTGTACCAAAGAGGACGATTATTCAAAAGCTCGAGAGGAGATTATTTACTCTACACTAAAGCGTCTTACAGTTCGATGCTCGTAAATCGTTCATCAAAATAAAAATAATTAATAGCGCCTATAATCGTTTTGTGTATCTATAGTATTGTAGTCGGCTGTAGGAAACTACTTTGTTGGAAGCTTTTTCTCTGATATTTTAATCCAAAATTTCAAAAACCTTTTTGAAAGATGGGAGATATATGAAATATTGCTCCTCAACCTCAATTTTTCCAACATTCATTTTTTGTGGTTCGTTCTCTTTCTCAAAATACTTAACACGATTTCGAGCCTAGAGATTCCAAAAGGTTCCTTTGGAGTTCAACCAAACTTGAATATTTGAACATGAAAATAAGGAGAACCCCTCTGATTGTATTGGTGACTGAATACGTCACTAGATCGTTGTGCCATTCGCATTTTTCAAAATTCACATGAAACATTTTTTGTTGTAATGTGCCAAATTAAGGGAACCGTTTGAGAGCAATATAATCATGGATTTGAAATGGAAATCTGAGTGTCCTAGTATAGCAATGAATTACATTTATTTTTGGAAAAATCTGTGCAAATTACTTGACCCTTGACTCATCAAAAAACCGTTATACAAGCTACAATTAGGCAACCTAAAATATGTCAGTCAGCAAAAGGTGTGCTTTAATTACTAGGCGCTATTGTCTATATATTTTTTCCAGAGAGTTAGAAATAAAAAGATCAGAAATTGACATACATTATTATCAACAGTTTCTGCAACGTACCTTATTATCTATATCTTCCTTTTGAAGAAGCTTCAAGGGGCATTTTTATAGGACCATATGCCATTTGACAATGTTCTCTGATACAAGAAGCGAAGTGTAGTCTTTTTTAATATGCGATTAATACACTCCTTTAATATACGACCAGCAGCTTGGTGATTGTTTCAAATTCTAACCAATCAGATGATTTTTTATCCGATTAAAAGCTAGGTAATTTTTTATCAGCGATAAAAATAGTGGTTGGTCTTTTTTTTAAATTAATCTCCCTAAAATACACTCCATCTTGGTTTTCATTCAATAAGCATAATTTTATTTTTAATTCACTCAAATGTTGTTGCTTCCTGGAAAAAACTCTCGATCAAAAGCACATGATAAAATCGCTCCAGCTAAAGCTGTCGCCATCACACTTTTGATCTCTAGTTTAGATCAATATAATTATTTGGAATGGAAATCTTA